TTAAAAGTTTGTAGTTTCCAGTACATCATCATATTTTGCAGCTGTGAATTTAACTGATTCCTTAAGCTCATTGTTTTGATCTTTTATCTCATTCATGGTAATCTTTAGCTCTTGGAACATATTCATCATTAATGACTTAAAGTCGTATAAATTACCCTTTTCTCCTAAATTTTCCCTCTTCCTTTTTGTGTTAAAATTACGCTGCGTCTCATTAGATAATGCATCCTCGATATCCACAGATATACTCAAGTTTGGATCTGAGTGTGTGTGAGAATGAACTACGCCAACATTTAAATTTGTGGGTGTTAGCGGCGTGGTTCTCTTTAGCGGCATATTGTACCTGTACGTGGATGTACCAGGGCATCAGAAATTATTCGTAGAATGTAAATACAATTACTCTGCGGACAGCGTAAAACACACTAACTTAACCCTTACCAAAGTGATCCAAGACGTGAGAGGTCAAATTAAATTGGGGCTATCGACGATTTCTTACAAATTACCTTTCCGTCTAGTATTAGAAGATCTCTAGACGGTAATTATTACTTAAAATTCATATATAATACAAATGCTGTCTCAATTTGCTTAGAAGTACTGCTTATGCTTTAAAGGTGAGATAGTAGATTGCAAAGGTGACTCACATACATAACAGTGTCTTAGTTTCTTTTATGATTGTATTGTTTCGTAGCACACGCATCCACACTGTGGTGACAATTTTAAGCTTGATGCTCTTCTTAACGTATGATCTCCTATTATTTCACTAATATTATTTTACTTTTGGTTATTAGGTATTAATTTAGAATTCTTTGCCATATTATATTTCAATGACATCATTTCTAATTGGTTGCACTAGTTTGAAGACTGTTTCTCAAATTATTTTAATTATTCCACATTACAGGTATTTAGATTAATTGTTTATCCTAATTTCTTCTTTCGTGTTTTTTATTTTTATTGTTTACTTTAAGACTGACAGTTGTTACCTGTAACCATAGATTACTGTTTCAATACTAGACTAGAGTACTGTAACCACAGAGGCTGACAGAAGCATTCTTAGACGTATACAGAGAATTCTAAGATTCATTTTTACTTTTTATATTTTACTAACTTGGCAAAGGCGTCTATAACGATACTGCCTAGTCCGACGTTTATAATTTTTTACAATTTATTGGTGTTTGACTACAAGTTTTTTTTTTTGTTTTGTTTTGGGAATTTTAATATTAAACTTATTGTTTTATTTATTTAAGTTGTTGTTGTGTTATATGCTTTCTCTTTCATGCTGCTGGTGGTTGAAATTGTGTGGGTACCGTTCGATCTTGCATTTATATTTTTTATATTTTATTTTTTATTGTATATTAGTATTTATTTGTATATTTAATTAGTTTTTATGTTATCCTCAAACATTTGTAACGATAGTGATTTGTTTCTGTCCTTGTCTTCGGATGATGAGACACTTAGTGATGTTAGTTATCACAGTACAACTGCTTCTCCTTCACTCAACATCACCTTAAATTCTTGTTTCTCAGACTGTGTGAATAATTTCAATGCTATTCATATTAATGCCCAAAGCATTCCGGCTCATTATCCCGACATGCTTGCGTCATTTGAATCCCGAAATATTCATGCCATTTTAGTTTCAGAATCTTGGCTAAAACCCTGTTTGCCTTCTACTTCTTACTCTTTGCCTGGGTTTCATCTAATTAGAAATGACCGCAGTAATAGAGGTGGTGGGGGCGTGGCGATCTATCTAAGATCCTACTTTCCATTTAAAATTGTTAGTTCGTCATGTCAACCGCCTCCTGGTGATTCTGCTGAGCATTTGCTAGTTGAGGTCTCCCTGTCTCAGAATAAAATCCTACTTGGAGTTTTCTACAGTCCCTCTCTTTCTATCAACTATTTTACTTCTTTTGAATCTCTTTTAGAATCACTAGTCCCTACATATAGTCATACTATTTTGATGGGTGACTTCAACACCTGTTTACTTAAAGGCGACAATCGGGCAATAAAACTTGAGTCTATAATTGAAGCGTGTAATATGCAAATCCTACCTCTTACTGCTACTCACAAATTTCCTAACTGTACTCCTTCCCTTCTGGACTTAATTATCGTGTCATCTTCACACCTAGTTTTCAAGCACGGACAGTGTCCTGCTGATGCATTCTCTTATCACGATTTACTTTTCCTTTCGTATAAACTACGCCCTCCTAAAATCAAACCTAAATTAGTTCTGCGACGTAATTTTGGAGGAATGGATATTGACCAACTTTGCGAAGATGCTCATAATATTGACTGGTCAGTGATTGAGAGAGCACCATGCATTGACGATAAAGTGGAACTTTTCAATTCCCTTCTCACTCAGCTATATGACGTACACGCGCCAATGCATTATGTTAAACTCAAGCACTTACCTGCTCCATGGCTCTCTGATGATCTGAAAAGGCTAATTTTGAAGAAGAATGCGGCATTGTCAAAGCTTAAGAGGAACAAAACAGAGGAAAACCTTAGAAAATACACTAAAATCCGGAATCGCTGCAACACATTGTGTAGAGATGCACAACGACGCCATATTCATTCATCAGTCGAGAACGGCGACTCATCTAGGGTGTGGAAGTTTCTTAAAACAGTTGGAGTTGGTAGAAACTCTCTTAATACTTCACCTCCCAGTGTTGATGTTGAACTATTAAATCAACATTTTTCTAATCCTTCTAACTCTTTTGATAGTGAACATAAACTGCAAACACTTCGTTCTCTTTCTTTAAGTCCGACTCCTAATTATTCTCCGTTCGTTTTTAGTCAATTTACTGTTTGTGATGTTAAGAGAATCATATTATCCATCTCCTCAAATGCTGTCGGTAGCGACAGCATTAGCCGTAATATGATCGTTCCTCTCCTTGATGTTATCACTCCCATTATCACTCATTTGCTTAACGCATGTGCATCTTCCTCTAAATTCCCACAAGCCTGGAAGAGTGCTTATGTTATACCCCTTCCGAAGAAATCTAATCCCGTCAACCTCACTGATTTCCGTCCCATTTCGATTTTACCTTTCCTTTCTAAAGTCCTTGAAAAACTTATTTGCCAACAGCTGACACTTTTCCTTAATAAGCACAATTTGTTGAATTCTTTACAATCCGGTTTCCGTCCCGGTCATAGTACGGCTACTGCCTTAATTAAAGTTACTGATGACATACGGTGGGGTATGGATAATAAACAACTCACAGTCATGACCTTGCTAGATTTCAGCAATGCGTTCAATACTGTTGATTTCGATATACTGTTGAGTCAGTTGTATTCCCTTAACATATCTCCATCAGTAATTGACTGGTTTCAAAGTTACCTCTGTGGCCGTCGGCAGTGTATTCATGTTGATGAAACTCACTCATCTTGGTGTGATATTACTGCAGGCGTGCCGCAGGGTGGCGTGTTGTCACCTTTACTCTTTTCCATTTTCATTAATTCAATTACTCATAAAATTTCTTCTCTCTACCACATGTATGCGGATGATGTCCAGATTTACACCCAGTCAACTCTTGAGAATTTGCCAAATGCAATCGCTACATTAAAAAATGACTTAAATATGATTCATGAGTGGAGTCAATCATATGGCCTAAATGTCAATCCTAAAAAGTCACAGGCTATCATTTTTGGTAGTCAGAGCTTTATCTCAAGAATTGACTGGTTTTCCATACCACCTGTTGTATTCGATGGGGTTGTGATCCCTTACGTTGACAATGTCAAAAATCTTGGTGTTTACCTTGATAGTTCCTTAAATTGGAAACGCCAACTGAATGAGGTAAGTAAGAAAACCTTTGTCGCTCTTAGTTCACTGCGTCGCCTTCGATCATTTCTTCCCATTCCTACAAAAATTATGCTCGCACAGTCTCTTCTCCTTCCGATTCTCGACTATGCCGACGCAAGCTATGTAGACATAACTATAGACCAGCTAACTAAGCTTGAGAGACTTCAAAATACTAGTATCCGGTTCATATTTGGATTGCGCAAATTTGACCACATTTCCCAATTTCGCTCACGTCTCAAGTGGTTACCTATCCAATTTCGCCGGAACATGCATATTCTTTCTATTCTGTACTGTGTCTTATTTTACCCTTCTACTCCTCCTTATCTTAAGGAGAAATTTAGTTTTGTTGGGCTTCCAGGGGAACCTTTACGCTCTTCAAGAAAACTCATTTTAAGGGTACCAACTCACAATACATCTTTCTTTAATAAATCTTTTACTGTACAGTCTATTAAGCTCTGGAATGCCCTACCTTTGTATTTACGCGAAGCTCAGACTATTGTAGTCTTTAAGCGACTTCTTAAAGAGCATTACTTGTCTCAATCGTTCGAAAATCATTAGGATAAATTATGTGATTATATAGTTTTGTATTTATTTGTTTATGTTATTGTTAGTGGTATATATTTGAGGATATATGTATGTATATATGTGTATGTGTGTATATGTATGTATATGTATATATATATATGTATATATGTGTGTGTATGTTTATGTATATACCTATGTATATGTGTATCATATTTTTTTTTAATGTATTAGTTATTTACTTATATGTTATTTTATTGCATGTATTGATATTATATTAGGTATATTTATATTGCACCACCTACCTAGTACTCACTGTTTTATTCCTTTACACCTTTGGTTGCCTGGAAGAGATCGCTATGTAGCGATAAGGCCGCCAAATTGTACATGTAATCTGCTCTCTGTTATGTTATTTGTAAATTTGTTTGTGGTGTGCAATAAAGTATATTCATTCATTCATTCATTATTTTACAAGAATTTTTAATAGACCAGAATTTTAATTAATTGCAAACAACTATCTGCTTGTTAACGTGGTAGAGCCGATATTATGGCTGCAGCACGACTTGGTCGGTTAAACTGCGGAAGAGCCACGCTCTAAGAGAATATGAGCGTAAAATTTAAGTTCAATTTTGTGTTGTTTTAATGTTTCTGTGTTTCGCATGATGAGTGTAGAGAACCTTTTAGTTGTAGCGATGTATTCTATCTTAGACTTCAGGGATTATAACTCATATACATTTTGGTACTTAATCGAGAATAGATCTAGATGTCTATGGGCCAATGCATCCATTAACCATAAAGTGGACGGTGTGCTCGCTTGTACCCCCTATTAAATAAAAAGAGCTCCCAATCATCAATGTTATTTTCGGGTTCGACATTATTGGCGGGTTTTCTCGCCATCAATATTATGGTAATCGAGTCTTATCGTGTTTAAAACGCTTTTAATAACTTGACTTTTATGTATGTATTTTAACACGTATAAGTACATACTAAACACATCATGTACAAGAGAATACTAATC